CTATTAATCTATTTGTACTAATAAAGATTTGTACTTTTGTATGTATTGAAATAACTTGAAAACTACTGAGCCGATTTAAAAAATTCTTTCACCATTAGAAAGTATGTAACAAAGGCCATTTTTAAGTTTACGCGTACGAGAGCAATAGCTTGTTTGTTTCTAATTTAATATGTATGAAGAAATCGTGTAGAATGAAAACTCATAAACTAATATGACTGCTTGATTATTTTCAGTGAAACAGTATACTGACACAGTTCTCGATTTTAATTTAAGGGAGCATCACAAAGCGGAATACAAAATGTTGAATGCGATTGAATGCAAAATTTCTTTTTAATATTCGCATTTTGATGGACAGAACAATTATTGTTCATCCGAGCACAAAATTGTATGTTCTGTGAAATTCACCTATGTAATACGAATGTGAGATATATCTATACATACTAGCTGTTCGCGTGTGGCTTCATCCGCATGAAATTATAAATTTATTGTTTGCATTTGTCAAATTCTCAATTGCAAATATCAAAATACCAATTACCTTACCAATCTTGCTTCCTTGATGTTGGTACCAACTTATGGTCTCTTTCACATTAGCGTTTTTATCCAAAATATTTACCCCTTAAATTTAATGGCGTTAAAATATATAGCCTAAAGCGAGACGCACGTGTGGGGCTTTTCACTAAAAAAAATCTTTTTAAAAAATATGCTGTAATTGCTGACATCTTAGGCAACAAAGAAGTGTGTGTTTACGCTTTATTATAATAGTATATATAGTATAGATTATAAAATTGGAGTGTCTTCATGTAATATCAAAAGAAAAATTCCAGATTTTGGGAATACGATATATTTGGGTCGCTGAGAACGAAAATCGCATTAAAAAAAAAATTCCTGTCTGTCTGTCCGCAAGCAGGGTTTGTTCCGGGTAATCTACGAAACGGCTGGGCCGATTTCGACAGGACTTTCACTGTAGGGTAGCTGACATAGTTGGGCATATTATAGGCTTTTTTTTCGGCTTTTATAAGAGCTAGTTTTATATATATGTTTGAATATTGTAAATACTGGGATATGATACTGAAACATTTTATCAATGCCTATATATCAGTTACGGAATAATTTTAACATTATTAATACTTACATTACAATTAATACTTACATGAAACATACATTATTTAACACGTCATAACCAAAGAAATTCAGAAAATATATAGAGGAAGCATATGTGACATTTTTCACATGATCCTCTAAGTTACCGGTGAAAAATTGTTGTTCACTTTGTCTATTTTACATGTTTTTTAAATGTTTTGGTTATACTGAACAATTTATGATTAAAAGAAAAGGATTACAATAATCGAAGCTTCATTAGACACTAGCAAAAGTTAGTAAAGACATGTCGTGACTCATTAGGCTGTCCGCACACGGCGCGAGTCACGATTTATTATTCCACCTGTCTATAAACACCCACACACTTGGAAATAAATGGACTTGCGACTTATTTCCTTGTCAATTTATTAACTCTTAAAATACTCTGTTTTATTGAAAATATTTAATAGGTTGGTACCTAGTGTTGCTACTAGCTGTTGATCGCGACATTGTCCGCGTCAAATTAAAAATATTGCCTCATTCATCACATAGATTTTTAATGGTGCAAGAATGTTTGAAATCCGTCCAGTACTTTTTGAGTTATTTTAAAACATACAAAAAATACAAAAATACAAATCCTTTCCTCTTTATAAATTAGTATAGATAACGGGACAGACAGACAGTGTTTCCTCCTATATATCATTATAAAAGGAACTTACGTTCTCTGAGAACATCTCAAGAATCTTACTTCTACGCTCAAAGTATTTCGCTCGGCTTTGGAACGCGGAGAACGAAAAGTTTAAAACTTATAAATATAAAAATAAGCGGAAAAACTTTTAATAGGCATGGAATAATTGATCTCTAAACTGCAACTTGGTTTAAAATAAGATGCCTTAGTAGAGTTCAGAATTGATTAAAATAAGTTACTTTAATAGATTTTGTCTAAAAAATTTTAAAACCTCTAAGACTAAAGTCTGAACAAAGTATTTCTACATATTATCTTCTTGAGCGGGTCTATTTAGGTCGTTGTCATGTCTAGGAACTTTATATCAACCTTAATTAAAGTGATTTTACCCGAACATTTGAGTACGAACAAACAGAGAACTGTAATCAAGTTCAAAACTCTTATCTCTTAATTAGGGTGATAGTTTACTTTGGAGATAAAAGTTTTAAATGTTCGTGCTATGAAATTTACCGTTCTACGGAATGGACACTATAAAGGAAAATTATTTCAAGCCTTTTAACACGTATTGCGACAAGTAAAAATATAATTCTTCATCTGGTGCGTCGGCGGGTATTACAACAATATAAACACAAATCATTCCTTTTTATAATATTAGTGTAGTATTAATAATTTGCAATACAAAAATTTAAAATATATAATTCGAGTTTAACAAGTTGTCAAACCAAGAAACCATTTCCAAACGGTAAATCCGTCTATCCGCTGAGAGGCGATTTTCTCGGATCAACGGCTAACTTAATAATTCGGAAATGAAGAGGACTTTATCTTTTTGCTGCGAGAACTGAATCTCAGCGAAAATACTTTTTGATGTTCGTTTTTGTTGATTTATTCGAATGGCTTATTTACAAAATTTCTGATACGTAGTTCAGAAACGCATTTCTTGAAATTATCAAATCAGTTTTCGGTTTTTAACGAATGGTTAAACGTTACCGGGAAAAGGGCCTTAACTGGATTTTTTTTTGTAAATTCATTGTTTGATATCATAACCTTATCCTACTCCCGTAGGGTACGCGCTTGCTTTTCGTCCTACAAATAACTCGTATCATCCGTCATCTCAGTCATCACTCCCTTCTTGATCATGTTACCTTTCACGCAATCCATCTCTTTCTAGGGCTACCTTTACTGGTGTACCTTGATTTGATATCTTATCAGGTATTTATTGCAATATTTTATGCCTTTTAATTTATAGAAACAATCTACCTTTTATGCAATTATTTTGATATTTTTACAGTTTTGCAATGGTCAAAAAGTTATTGTAAACAATTTATATAGTGTACTAAGAATATTAAGTTGCAGTTTGATTTAAGTTCTCGAACTCGAAGTATAAGGATCTCATTAATGGTCCAAGTTCTAACAAGTCTTAGTCAAGTTGTTTTATATTTTCTGAGAAATATTTAGACTTTGTCGTATACAATCTATCAATCTACTATGATAAAATTAGTAACTGATATATGACAAGCTTCGAAATTACAAAAATAATCGCAACTCAAAAATGTTTTAACCTAAATTTAAAATTACCTCGTCTAATGCTGCAATAGGACCTTAGTTACTTCTTTTCTCATATAACAAAATTATTACACATATGATATATTAAAAAACACTTCTTACTTTTACTAATATTACAATTGTGAAAGTTTAGATGGATGGATGGATGTTTGTTAGAGTTTGTAGCCTAAACGGCTAAACGGATGTCGATGAAATTTTGCACAGATGTAAGGATAGTCTGGAAGAACACGTAGGCTAGTTGATTTTGTTTTTTTTTTAATTTCACGCGGGCGAAAGCTGGTTTATCATATTTTTTCTAAAGTACATACTAAGAAAAAACTTTATTAGTAAACATAAGATGAATTGTAACATAATAAACATAGTACAATATTTTCTTTATCTCGATCAAATATACGGATATTTATATTGCCAACGTTATCACAAACATAATTCAAAGTATGAAGGTACACGTAAACATTTTTTTACGATTTCTCCATCAGTCGGTAAAGAAAAAGCTCGACAATCGTAAATCCTCGCTCTAGACTGTCGTCAGCAATATTCTGACAATTGTAGACAAAATTGTTATACACGCACGAGTTTCTACTGCCGACATATTACAAACATATTTACTTAACTTCAATAATCATATGTATCTTTTATTGTACGTTAAATTTAAAAATACACATCTACGTTACATAAAATTCAATAACTTTTTCAAATAATAATAATAATAATAATAATAATGACAAAAGCATGAAACAGCTGCTTAAAGAACGGTTTCTTGGTCGCCTGAAAAAAGTACTGAA